TAAAGTAAAAACTAAAAAAGAGAAACCTATTTTAACTAGAAGTAGTAGCTTAGATAATAAGTCAGGTAGAACTTAACGTAGTAAAGTTACTGATAGTTTTGAACATACAGAGTTATTATTCGATAAAAAGTTACGAAATAAAAAAATGGTTACTATAAAATTAGAGGACGCATTCAAATTAATACCTTTATGCACAGGTGAGGATGACATATATCCATTTATTAATGCATGTGACATGGCAGTGAGTCTAGTCGAAGAAAAATGTGCACCAACGTTAGTGAAATATATTACTACCAGATTAACTGGTAGAGCGTTAGAAATGATACGATATAAAAATGTGACCAAGTGGACATTTATTAAAAGTTATTTAACAGACGCGTTTGAGNGACATTTATTAAAAGTTATTTAACAGACGCGTTTGAGGATCTAACAACTGCATCTAGCTTACAAATACAACTAAATTCGATTAAAATGCGCAATGGTGAAGATGTAAATGAGTACTGTCATAGAGTAGAAAAATTATATTATAAACTATGTACTGCAAGTACACTTAATAAAATAGATTCGGAAGCGAGAATAAAACACGAAACGTTAAAAGAACAAACATTAGCAATTTTTATTAAGGCGATTGGGTACCGGCCATAATTAAGGAGTTGTAGGTAGGCAATTTCTAGCTTTTCTCTGTTACGCGTTGTCGTTGTGTGCGTAGTAAGTGAACATTAGTGTGAGTGTTGTTATCTTACAACGTCCCGTTACCCTCCCGTCACTCGTGGACGACCAATTCGTTAATGACAATGAGAACAACAATAACTGGTTTTTATCGTTTATCACGGATTCTAATTTATTGTCGTGAACGTACTTCGCATAATATTGGTAATCGGGCGTGAAGGTGAAGCAATAGGTACCTACAGTATAAAGGGCGAATGTAAGTTCCTACACGATTTATAGTGGACCTATTTATTTACTAATATAGTAATATTACAGACTTTTTTATCTGAAGTAATTATTAACCGCCCAGTTATTACAATGTAAGTTTTTTTTCTAACTCTTTGTTTGGACGTTTGTTATGACGGTATCAAAAAATCAATTTTCTCTCATGACACAAAGTTTTAAAATATTTAGATTTATAGTATATACTTACCTAAAATGGTTTTATTAATTTGAATACTAGTAGTTATCAAACAAATTAACAAACTATATTTTTTACAAAATATGTTTTATATTATTGAACAATACTATATAAAAACATATGTATAAGTAATTTACACCGATATTACTTTTTACACTGATATTAAACAATAAGTGTCATCAAACATATTTCTAAAAAGTTATCTTAAACCAGTCCTTAAAGGAAGTCCTCTGTCAAACCGCGAGTCAATTAATTCAGGAAGCAAGCACTCCATGTAAAATTGTATTAAACGAGGCTCGATTTTCATCCAAAATTCGTTATTTTTTGTGATTTTATCAACAATCATTCCTAGGGTAAAGTAATAAAATTGTAAATATTATTTTACTCAGCCCTGGAAAACTAAATCCCAGGCAATTCAAGGTTGGTAAAGTTAGTAATATTATAGGATTTAAAATAAATAATAATTTAAAACTATATAATACCTTTAGGCGTCCATACGACAAAGTAACAATATTTCCTTTCAGTTATGTGTAATTGCCCCTGTATTTGATAATAATAATCATGAGAAGTTTTTAATTTTAACTCTCCATCAATAGAATTCATAAAGTTCAATTTTTTATTTTTAAAAGCTTCTTTTGGTGTTAAATCTTTTATTGACGCTGGACATTTAATTTCTACGATGGAATTATTGTCAATCAAACCATCCGGGCTAGCTGCTAAAAATGTTGATTTTTTGTCAACAAACAGACCACATGACTGGATATTTACACCTAGCTTAATTTCCAGAGCTTCTTTGGCCAACGGTTCATTTTGAATGCCATACCTAAAAGAACGAAAAAAAAATTAACAAATCATCATTACCAAAACTAATTTTGGAGAGGTAAAAATTTAATATGTGATGTACCTTGTAGCTGAATTTCCCCGAAATAACTCGTAGAGAATATATTTCACAGTATTTGCACGAGAAGTTGTGTCTTTGAGTTTTGCAACTTTACCAAAATTCGAAGCCGTGAGCCTTATTTTTCGTTCTCGTCGCCATTCATCGCAATTTGATTGGTCCACTGTATTTCGTTCTAAAAGTTGTAATTGTTTAGATGTGAGTTTTAATTTTTCTAAGAAACAGTCTTTTTTTATTTGATATTCATTATATGGCATATCAATTATTTCACTCTCAGTATGAACGGCTCCATAATCTTCATCTGGCCCTTGTGAAATGTTTCTTTTGGTTGAATATCTATAACAAATTTTGAACTATAAAGTTAACTATAATTTAGGTACCTACTTAAACTATAATTTTAAGAATTAGTTAAACAAACCTGTCAGACTAACCAAACTGTTATCTCCGTTGGGTAGATTTATTTCGTGAATCAATATTTTTTTTTATATATTTTTTTGTATACATTCCTGGGCTGTAATTAGTGGCTTTTTTGTGGAGATGTCTAATATAACATGGTCCATAGTTATATGCTGTTACAGCAGTAGCACAGCGAGTCTGGTACGATCCTAATAAACATTAAATTTAACACAAATAAAAGTAAAAATAAATTTATTTAAAACTAAAAAAAAATTGAATACCTCTTAACGAAAAGTTGACTCGTTTACCCCCTGTATACTTAGCTACGATACTATTGTAATTTTCCACACAATTATTGTTTACGAAACAAATTAAACTTTCACTATGGTGAGCAACAAGATTTTTCGCTGAAATTATATCCTGCCATAGACCACATTGTTCCATTTCAGGAATTAGATTCATTTCACTTGGTTTGTTTCCAGAACAAAAATAACTAAAAATTAAAAATATTATTTACATATAATATTTAATTTATAAACTACTTTAAATTTGACTTTTAATGACCTAGAACATTTATCATGACAACCAAAAACATGATATGGCCCATTATCTATATCTTCTTTTAAAAGTGCAACTTTATACTTTGTAGGACAATCCATTTTCATACGATGTTTAATGGCGTTTGTCACAGCACATCTAGCAACAAATATTGATTAATTAGTAGACATTTTTTAAGATAAAAAATTATCTAAAAAGTGAATCAAATGATTACCTCAGTCTTAATCGCTTTTCTTTTAAGTTTTTTCTTAGTAATCCTGGTACAACACTACCGCTAGAGCTTTTCCGTTTAGTCGCTATATCTACTAGTCTATTTAGATAATTTCGGAGTATGTGGTTGGCACATTCAATCTTTTTTACATCTAAGTCATTGCCATAGGGTTTTGCTAAAATTATTTTTTTTAAAACACTAGAATCTCCATCCCCAATAAGTTTGTGGTAAATTATATTGTGCATTGGAATACTCTGGCGAAAACCCTCAACTATTATATCAGCTTCCATCGCTGTACTAGTACCATTCCAATTTTTGTAACACAAATGTACAGGTGGGTCTTTATTATTTGCACAAGCTTTTTGACAAATACTGCAATATTTATTGCGAACTCCAATAAACAATACCTTTTTTGTTCGGTAACCAACAATACATGCCTACAAAAATTCAAATAAGTTATAAAATAATTTCTCTTAAGTCTGAAATGTTTAGATATTATGATTTTTATTGTAAATTTTAGTAGATTTTATAATGATGTACCTACATATTCAAAATTGACAGAAACTAGTTTTTTTTTAATTATTCCTAATTTACTTTATATATAATACTTACAACACCAGATGGTGCGTTGTAATTATGTTTATAAGATCGTTTCGACCAGGCACCATCTGCCACAACAGTGATCATAGGAATACCATCACAATTTATGTCACCATTTTCAACAGCAAGTCTTGCTTCTTCCTCACCAGCCAGCTCAATAGATTCCCACGCTGTATTTTCGGTTTGTTTGGATAAAAACTGATGGTATTTTTGATAGGTCTTATTACTCATACATGGCATATCTAATATGGATGAAAATTGTTCTAAGTTTGTAAATCCTTGACCAGTATTTACTATTGCAGTAACAATTGCAGCGTTAATAGACAAAGATTCACTTTTGTCTGGATGTTCGGAAAAAATTACTTCTTTTTTTCTGCATAGGTTGCATTCAAAATGAAATTCAGAAAAAAATCCTTTTTTTATTTCTGATTTAAAGGCAAGATTTTGAATACTACAATTGAATGATTCATGTTTAATTGATTGTAAACTTTTTAAAAAGTAGTCAATATTAATAATTCTTCGACCACTAAGACAATTTCTAAAATAATTAAGACAAATTTAAATAAATCACTATTATGCAAATTAATTGTGTATTCTATAATAAACAAATATACTTAGTCCCATTTCGATATCGAAACTGAAAATAAAGTAGGAAATAATCTTTACCGGTAACCAAAATCGAAAAAAAAATATTTTCGGTTTCAAGCCGTGATATAATAATTTTAAAAAAAATGTACTAACTTGTTATTCTCTTCATCCAAATTATTGGGTAGAGACAATTTAGGGTTGTAACTATCACAACTATCATTCACGAGAGTTTCTGGTGATAAAGGTAAAAAATCGTTTTCAAAATTATCGTCTACAAGGTTTCTAAAAATACGAGAGTAAAAATTAGTTTTCAACCATTTAAATACCTACATATTTAATTATAAGTCAATATTGTTATAAGTTGTACCGAGCAAATTGTTTAAATATATATCTCGTAGAACAAAGCCCACAGACAAAAAACCATTAAAAATAAACAAACTATGGAAATAAAAATTCATAAGAGTACCATACAATTGTACTATTCTATATTTTTAAAATATGACTAATGACTATCAATAAAAACATAAAATTTTAGATATTGGTGTAACTCTAATTACTTTAGACACATATACTTGATAAAATTTTCAAAATATTTCAAATCGTTTAAAGTTATTTATAGGCAATATTTTAAATATTAAATTATTAAATCTTAATAGTTTTTTTTTTTTTCAAATGACAATAAATTAAATTTTTATGAGCATTTCAATTGCAACATTGAATATTTGCTCAATATCTCGTGTACCGATACTCTTATTTTGTTGTTATTCAAAAACGAATAATTTTAGAAATTTTAAATTTACAGTTTATGTTTATTTTATCAATTCAAATACATGATAAAATTTTTAAAATATTTAAACAATTATTAAGTTATTTATAATAACCTACATAATGAATGTGATTTAATTAATATGAAATTTATTTTATAGGTATCTACATTTTTCCATTTTTTAAATAATAACAATATAATTAATATAGTATAACATATCTTCTTAAAAAGATCAAAATAGGAAAATACCTATTCCTCCTAGACTGAAAACCCGTCTCTACTCAGAATCGTTTTTCGTATACAATTATATCATTATATCATCTAGTTATTCGTGCAGTATAATTAACTATGTACCTTTGTAGATCCTGGTTCAATACTTTTATCTCCTTATGTGGAATCAAATTATGCCTAGACGTAGATGGAGAAAAAAAACAAGGAGCATGCTCATCTACAGCTGAAAGCGCATTCACATTTTTTGAATTTTGTAAGCTCTATACAAATTAACAAAAAAACATTATCAAACACTGTTGAATGTTGCGTTATTTTCGTATTTGGATCAGCAATTTACAAATGTATTATAAATATAAAATATCAATCAATAATTTATAATTAAAAAAAAAAATGTTATGCTATAAAAAATATTATGTTGTATAGAGATAAAAATACAAACCGTATAAGTTTTTGATGATTGTTGGTTCTGTAAAAGTGTCATTGGATTTCCTTTATTTTTTTTTCTTCTACTCAGTGGTGGCTTTTTCTTGAGCCTACTATTTCCCATGTTTATTAATTAAATTTCAAACAATCAATAATTACAACAAAAAACACAACAAGTTACTACTTGTAACTGAAAACGTGTACCTAATAATTATTTAATAATGCAATTTATACAAGTAATATAAGAAAATGACAGGAAATAAAATAAAATTTGGATTCGCGTATTGCTGTAAACGTCGACCGTCGCCCACAGAATTATATTTTATAATGTTTTAAATTATGCTTTAGCTTTATTAGTTCAATTCATTCACAATAATATATTATATGTTATAATATTCACAATAATATTTATATAATTATATCCTCATATCGGTTATAATAATGACATAACTATATTAGTCTACAAAACCGGATGTCGCATTATCGGAAAGCGCGCAACTCATTCTTAGAAAAACCAGTCAGGGTGACTCTCGTACGCACACGCACAAGTAGGTTTAAACAGCTACTGTTTAAAATTCGTAACATTTTTCTTTCAAAAACTTCTCATTTTACTTCAATCATTCCACTCGTTGTATTGATGCGATAAAAATTCTGAAAATTAATTTGGATTCAGAATGAAGTATACTTGGGATCGGTCGGGCCACTTTTCCAGTTGTATTCAATTATATTTTTTAAAGACTACTACAATATTTTATATTTTTTTAAAAACTTAGATCAAATTTGTGATATTTTGAGAGCAAAATTAAAAAATGTAATTCGACCGATCTCAAGTAGACTTCACTCTGAATTCAAATTAATTTTCAGAATTGTTATTGCATCAATACAATGATCGGAATGATTGAAGTAAAATGGGTAGTTTTTAACGGAATAATAGGACGGTAACCAATCGCCTTAAGGGCTTAATAAATCCGATTAGAACGATAGTAAAATCACAATGTCCAAAAACTCTTGAAATAGCAAAACAGTTAGCCAAAGCCGAGGAAGCTGAATATAATTCCGAGAGGGAAAATTATAAGTATAGAAATGACAATGAAA